CTTAAATGGTTTATGGAAAACAATGACCATGACTCAATAGTACTTTGTGTATAATTTAATAATAACTTAAATTCTTCTGTTATGGGAAAAGCCATATCAGTGCCAAAATATAATGACACAAATGTCGTGATCACAAAAAACAACATGTTCTCTTGGGCATTTATTTAGCTTTATCGTTAAGCAGATGGCATCATTTATCTACCAGGTGTTTATACTGATTATATCCTGTACACAGTGATATAATGCAGTACATATTGTATATATACAGTGTATATGTAATCACCTGGTATCTCTCTCTGTCAGGCTCCGGCTCCTCCTGGACTCGACCTGTTCTCCGGTGGAGCAGCAGCACCAGGCACCATGTTTCCTCCTACACACACCTCAGGACACCCCACACACCCCACACACCCTGACATGGTGACTCAGGAGCTGCAGGATCTCGCCATGCTGAACCTGGGAGATGTGAAGAGGTGAGACACTGCTCCTACATTTCTCCATCACAGTGCTATTCTGGATAAAAAGACAGATTTCTGAAACAATAGTGCATTCTGGGTAATAAATAACCTGTTTAGAAGAACATTGTTTAAGAAGAGGTGCACAAAAAAGCAATTTCCAGATCTATTCTTATAGATTTTTGTAGAAATATTTGAATATGTGAATTATTTAAATAGACATAAAATAATATATTCATTTTTATAAGTGTCTTTTTTCATCTCAAGTGTAAAAGTTGGTGTAGTGATAAACAGAGCATGTGATAAAAGCTTGTCTTGAAGAAATGACATAGTGAGTGTGGCTACGTCCCAAACCACAGACTACTGTATTTAGTGTCTCAAACTAGTACATCACCTCTGGTCCATAGTGTTTAACACTTTAGTGAGTCGAGAGCATCGCTTTGGCCGCTAAGTGCTTACATACCGTAGCTAGCTGATTATTAAACTGTTAAATAGGACCTGACCTACAGTAGTGTACTGTTTAGTGCACTAGTATGTGGTTTGGGACGTAGCTCATCACTGTGTGTGTGCGCGTGTGTTTTTGACTGGTGCCGTTTTATTATTGCTTTTTGGTTTGTAGTGTCTCAGGTCAGCCCGTCATGGCCACCGGTGTTGGTTTGGGTTTCGCCGTGCCCTCCTCTCTCTCCGCCTCCAATCCGTTTATCAGCTCCACCATGCCCGGCTCGCCCCTGCACTCTCTACAGGGAACCCCTGCGCGCTCTGAGGCATCCCTCAGCAACCTGCATGTTCCCCTGGACTCCATCAAAACCAGTCAGTATAATCAGTATAACACACTCTGCTTAATCTCTCTCACACACACACACACACACACGCACGCACACACTCTGTCTCTCTCTCCAGGTCTGTGCTTGGGTGAAATTCATGTCTCTTAACTGGCTTATTCTGATTATATATGCGACAGTTAGTGATGTCATGAACCAGGTCCAGCAGCATCTAATCAGAAAATCATTAAAAGATAATGTGGAAACTTTTATCCTTATATACGTGAAAAAAAGAGTGAAAAAACTTTCCCAGTCAGAAGGTGAAGATTGTGAAGTGGGAATTGTGTTTTTGTTCCAGTCTGAATGAAGGAATTGAAGTTTTGTCCCAGTTCACTGGCAAGAAATACAGTCTGAAAGTGGGGATTTTTCTCCCAGTCTGAAGATGGTAATAGCTTTTTTTCCCCAGTTGGAAAGTAGGATATTATTTTTCTTCGCAGACTGAAGACACTCATCAGAATGAGGGAATTGCAATTTTCTCCAGTATGAGGTGGGAATTGCATTTTTTTCCCCGAAAGATGGGAAGTATGATTTTCCCCAGCTGGAATATCAGAAATTATGTTTCTTCTGAGTCAGAAAGTGGGAATTCTGGGTTTTTTTTTCTGATATGACCTGAATGCAGCAGAAGATCCTGTAGGTTTTTATGAGTGGAAAGGTGTGGAGATGTTCATAGGCTGGTTTTTTTTTTGGTCATTTGTTAAGGAGCTATAACACACAATACATTAATTATTGTTTAATCAGGATTGTGTTTTCAGGTTAAACATTCAGGGTTACTTTACATTCTATGAGAAGTTTAACTGATTAAATTCTGTGAGAAAGGGAAGAGTTTAATTTAAGTGAAATGAGATGGGTTATAGAGGTGTGTGTGTGTGTGTGTGTGTGTGTGTGTGTGTGTGTCTGTGTGTAGGTAAGGCTCTTCCTGTGACTGCGTACGATAAAGACGGAGTTCGTGTCCTCCTGCACTTTGGCTCTGAGTGTCCTCCTGGGAGACCGGACGTCCTCGTCATGGTGGTGTCCATGCTG